CATCCTCACTGCAAGGGCTAAGAATAATTCTCCCCAGAGTTCTTCTTTAAGTGTGTCAGATGAAAAAAAAAACAAATATTGACAGGTGTTATAACCCTTCCTTACTCTTTACAAAACGAAAAAAAAAAGTTCTACTTTAATTTAAAGGAGAGCGTTGTTGTGCATATGGTAGGTATGTTTAAGAACAGAGGCAGGATATGGTTAACATCATGCATTGTGGGTCCAAAGAAATGTCTGTGCACCTAGAACACCCCACAGACTGTGAAGATGGGGAATGGTTTCCTTCTCTTTGGTACCATATTATTGTAACAGTTGAGAACAGAAAAGTTCAGTATGTTTGGGGTTTATCTTATTGCTTCTTGGGGTTAGAAAATTCTTATCCCTATAAATGAAAGTTGGTATGAAGTTTTCTTTTCTCTAATTCAGCAAGGGTGTCAGATGTAGGTGGTCCAATGGATAAATGTGTTTTTTTTCACCCTAAATCTAGGTAAACCAAGATAAATGGCTATAACTGTGTATCTAGAACCTAGTTTTACAATTATTTAACATTTTAAAAAAGCATTAGAGAAACAAAATCTAAGCTTTGACTTTACATTTATGTTAGAAGAATCATTACTCTTAAATGTGGCTTAGGGTTAATCACCTTTTTTAATTTCTCAAACATTTCCATTTGAGTAATTAAATGATGATATGTGTAATCTTCTTTAAATATCTGGTATGTCAGTATATAATGTCTGGCAGCAAAGTATGGCAAAGTATTTTGTAATTTCTTTTAAACATGATATTGTTCACAATTATACTGCGATTCCAACTTTGATGAATCTTCATAAATGGTACTGCTAAAACCGCTTACTCTATCATTTAGTTATTCTGCTATAAATATTAAAGTGTATGTATTTCAAAACCCTTTTTTTTTCGACAGAACCCACTATCATTTTATTTTTTTTGCAGTATGTGTCCTGCTGGGGAGATTTCACTTACTGTCTCGGAAATGCAACAGGAAGTAAAATGAACCTATAAATGTGAGGAAAATGCCCTTTTTAGACAGCTGTCCCCATTGGAACAACTCTAAAAGCTTGGATTTTCCATCACTTTCTATTTAGATGTCAGTGGTCCCCAGGACAAATAGAGAGGATGAACCTTCCTAGCATGGACACACACAGCAATCAAAACCTGAGAGGATTATAATTCTTCCTTACTGTACCCAAAGGAAACAAACAAAACTTACGAGTATACATACACTTCAAGTGACAAATGTGTAAACATTTATTTTTATGAATTGTTCATTGTTTTTTTCATATGATAGCTAGTATGTCTTTATTTGCATATCCCAATATGTGGAACATTACTATTTTGTGGTCCCCTCTTTACAATCCCTTTCTCTTATTACTGCAATCTACCTTTCCCGTGGTGCTAAAAGTCTCATAATGCAACAATATTGCAGTGTTGCCTTGTATCAGAAGATATGAGTACATCACTGGCGCAGAGACAAAATATATAAGGCATAGCCTGAACAAGGAGTTTGCAACTTGCGGTACGTGTACTAAAGCTGGCACACTTTCCACTGTCAGATGGCATGCAGAGCCTATTGGGATCCTGCATTTTTAACTTGTCAGCAGCAGGACCTGGGGCATAGATATGGGTTGTTGGGGGGCTTTGTGCTGAAATGCTTTGCTGTGTTCGGTGCTGTCTGTAAAAAGTCACAGCAGTAGGGTGACCCTGGATTTTTTTGGGCACTACTGTCCTGAGGGAAGTGATGTCTCAGCAGAGAAGAGAGCAGAGCTGAGCTGTAGAGTGACATGAAGCTGAGCATTTTAGTGTGGTTGTGTTGTTGAATCTTGATGTATTTTGCTGCATTGACACCAATCCTGTTTTTTTTTTTTTATTACTGTACTGGCACCAATTCTGGGTGTTTTGTTTTTGTGGGGTTTTTTTGCTGCACTAACACCAGTCTAAGTGGGTTATTTTGGCAGTGCCTGACACCAATGTTAGGGGCTGTTATTGCAGTAACTGACCAATGTTGGGGATTGTTATTGCATCACTGACACCCTTGATGGGGGTTTTATTGTAGTTATTGTAGAATAACATTGTTATCCAGTTTAGAGCCCCACAATTACTTACTAAATATTCATTTGTATGAGTGTGAAGTAGACATTTTGTTTATTTTATACCCGGCACTCTCTATTTCTTACAAACATGTTTCACCACATTAGGCTGGGGAGGTTCCCCTTCCCCTGGCCTAAACAGTTATAGCCTCTAGCTATGAAAATATAGAGATGAGCATGCTAGGATTAAGTCACAAAACAAGAATTTGGTAAAATCTGTACAAGTGCAATATAATGCAGTATACATTGTAAATGTATTGTCCTAGATACAGCTGAGCCAAAACCATGTTTGAGACTAGCATAGCTTTAACTTACACAGTGATTGCAGTATAAATAGACATGTAGAATAATACCAAAAAGTGAAGTGTATCTATACTGTTGGGCTATATTAAAACTGGAACACTGTCAGAAATAAAGCCTCAAAGGAACATATTGTATCTCTGACAACTGTGACTGTGCATGGAAATTATAAAATAACTTTTAGCATTGAAATTACTCATATCTATACTTCAGAAAAGCAAGAGGTGTGTGTTTTGCATGCTTCACGTTTGTCCAATTTTAAGTTTTTCAAGGAACAGTTTTACATTTAGGGCTAAAGTACATTTTATATCATGTAAAAATGATTTGCTTATATTAAACTTTCTACCACTTTTGGAAATATACCTTTTAATAAAGTGTGTTTAATACATTTCCTTGCTGAGGAATGTACTTATTTATTAGAAAGTGGTTTGGAAAAGTCTTTGCCTGGGGTTTTAAAGGTCATATCTTGCTTTTACAGACCTGTCAGTTCTGAATTTTCAGTGAGTCATTTACACCCATATGTAATTCATTTCTATACTCACAGAGAATAGACAAGTGAAGTGACTGGGTACTGAGATGTTGCTTGTAGCCAAATTACATTGATATATGGGGCACTTACCCTTGTATATGGGCACAGTGAGTGTGCAGATAGCAAAACTCTGCCATTTAAATTACAACTAAAGGCTCCTATATGACAGTCTAAACAAGTACAGAAATTAGTTACTATGTGATGAACAAACCTCACATAGCAAACAAAAACCTCCTTTACCTTTTTCTACTGATCCAAATTCTCCATCTCACAGGCTCCCCCTTCCAGACACTGCATCTCACAGGCGATGGTTAACAGTAAATAGTTATGCCTCCCTGCAACTTTGTTTCATCTGACTTTAGTGCAAGCAGACACATCCTACATGAGAGTGGCAACTCTGCTCTAAATTCAGGAGCAGTGCAGCATCATTACCACCACATCACAGGAAGCTTTATTAGGTAGAATTCACCAGGTGGCCTCAACTAGTATTTGTGCGACTTTGCAGGGAGACTAAGAGAAAACTGCAAGTGTGGTTCTGCAAGCGAT